TCTTGGTCTTGGTTCTGCAAGATAAATTCTTCTTGATTTGATGGGGGCTTGCTGCACACACCTGCGATGCGATGGACACTTCACACTCGACAAAAATAGAAAAAACACATGCGACACGCAAACGACGACTTGACATGCGAGCTGTAAAAACTCGCTAATGTCTTGACCGACACAAACCACATTGTGATACACCATTCAAACACACACACAAGCACTAGATAGCTATGACATAGACTCACAATTCATTCCATGCCATGCATGCACAAGGACAACAAGCCGAGTGCAAGCCATAGGGTTGCACCAACACAGGTAACCAGGTTTATCTTATCCCAAGGGAATAGACCCTTCTAGAAAATAGAATCACCCTGTGTATAGCCACGCGAGGCTATTGACTTTAAGGGATTATGGCAAGATTACGCTAGATATAGCGCTTCTGTACATCCCGAGCCTGGTCGGTGATAAAATTATAATAATCGAATAAACCAGAGGATAATGGAAATTGGAGAATAGGAAACCAAATAAGATGGGATAAAAAGAGAGATGTAATAGAAAGGAAGTAGGGAAAGGGACGAGTGGTGTAACGGGGTCGTACTCTCACACTTCCCCCCCTCAAAGCTAGGGGGTAGAAGTAACACCCTGCTTGACAAAGTAGTCATGCAGAGGACGACGGGCGTTACCCATGTCGGTCTCAGGTACCCAGCTGTCCTCAGAAGGATCATAACCCTTCCAGCGAATGACAAGCTCCACGGCGCCATTCCGACGATGGCGGTGTGCAAGCACGGATTCAACCTCGTACTCGGGTTCATTCTGGACGAGGACGGGCGGCGGCGGCGGCGGTTGGCGTCCGACGAAGATCGTGTTCGGATCTCGATAGGGCTTTAGAAGTTGGACATGGAAGGCATTGTGAATCTTCCAGGCAGCTGGCATGCGTAAGCGGAAGGTAACAGGACTAGCCTGTGCTACAACAAGGAAAGGCCCGCACAAGCGAGGTCGAAGTTTAGATGGGAGGTGGCGGATGTCAAGGTTGCGGGTGTCGAGGAGCACCTGGTCTCCCACGAGAACGGTGTGGTCGTTGCGATGGCGATCGGCCTGGCGCTTTTGTTGCTGTTGAATGTCGATGAGGCGCTTGTGGGTCCGATCCCAAAGTTGATGCATGGTTGTGATGAAATCATGTGTAGGTTGAACTGTAGCGGATGTTGTCGGTTTCTGTGGTGTGAGTGGGTGGCGTCCGTAGCAGAGGAAGAACGGCGTCTGTCTAGTAGCGGCATGTGTAGTGTTGTTGTAAGCAAACTCTAGAACGGGCAGGTGCAAGTCCCATTTGGAGATCTCGTCTTTGCATGCTGCTCGAAGGAGTTGCTCGACAATTTGGTTGAGGCGCTCGGTCTGTCCGTCTATCTGCGGATGGTAGGCGGATGACATGGCGAGTTTGGTCCCGAGCAGAGTCTTTAGTTCCTTCCAGAACTTGCTGGTGAACTTGGGGTCTCGGTCGGAGATGAGTGTGGTTGGGATGCCATGCTGTGAGATGATGTATCGAACGATGAGTTGTGCTGTTTCTTCGGTGCGTGCTATCATGTGTGTCGGAATGAAGTGTCCCATTATGGAGAATTTGTCGATGACGACAAGGATTGCGTCATGACCGCTGGTGGAAGGTGGTAACCCGGTGATGAAATCCAGGCTAACCACTGTTGGTGCAACCCTATGGCTTGCACTCGGCTTGTCGTCCTTGTTTGTGTGTGTGCATGCATGGCATGGAATGAATTGTGAGTCTATGTCATTGCTATCCAGTGCTTGTGTGTGTGTTTTAATGGTGTATCACAATGTGGTTTGTGTCGGTCAAGACATTAGCGAGTTTTTACAACTCGCATGTCAAGTCGTCGTTTGTGTGTCGCATGTGTTTTTTCTATTTTGTCGAGTGTGAAGTGTCCCTCGTGTCGCAGGTGTGTGCAGCAAGCCCCCATCAACTCAAGAAGAATTTATCTTGCAGATCCAAGAACAAGAGCTCAAGATTTCAAGCCCAAGGGACGCAGATAAATATTAAATAGTGAAAATACTAACTTTACTTCGTGTAGTGTTACATTTCACTTGGTGTAGCCCCTTGGAGGGTTGGTTTCGAGACTCTTCATGGTTGGGGACTCTGTGGTGGTGTACCACCAACCTGGACCTCGGCTCTTGGGGTATGTAGAGGCTGGGAACCATCTCCCTCTCGAACTCTTCTAGCTAAGTTTGTACTCCTAAGACTATAGTGGCTGCTGTACCTCCTGCCAGTCAAACCGCCATAGCATCGTCAAATCTTCATGGAATTTCATGATTCAACTTGCTGCTGATAGATGACGGCAACGCGCTCCAGATCCAATTTACAGATCACCGTTTAAGTCAGCAAGCAGATCGTTATCAATATTTGAAGCCGTCTGACGGAAATCCGACTGTGCTCTCTATCTCTCATTATAGGTACATCTAAGCCCATTGTGATTCTAACAAGTGGTATCAGAGCCCCTTGGAGCCGTCTCGACCATGCCTTGACCTGAGGAAGGGGGTGGCAGAGGTGCTGGAGGCAGAGAAGACGCCCAAGCACAAGGTCAACACCAAGATCCACCCGTTGCTCCGGTGCAACCTAGCCTTGGACCCTCTAGGGATGAGCCTAGAGTGTTTGGCCTTGACAAGTTCAACGGTGACAACTTTGCTGAGTGGTCCTTCAAGATGGAGAACATCTTTGACCATTATGATCTGCTGGAGGTGATGGAAGGAACGGAGAAGCGCCCCGAGAACGACCCGGAGAAGAGCCCGTGGGTGCGGAAGAGCGCACAAGGCTACCTTCTACTTGGGCAAGCGTTGGGGAGCAGCCAAATCCGTCACATCAAGCCTTTTCAGCGTGAACCAGCAAAGGGACCAAACGCATGGGCTGCTCTCAAGGGTGTACACGCTCCTGCAACAGTGGCGGTGGCTGTGGTTTTGGAGCGGCAAATGGCGGCACTTCGAATTGACGAAGGCGAACCGGTGGAGGAAGGAATGCAGAAATTCTTCGACTTATTGACACGGCTCGAAGGAGCTGACCTGAACTACAGTGACCTTCAAAAGAAGACCAAGCTGCTAGCCTTACTTCCGGACTCATGGTCCTCGCTCATCATCAACCTTAATCGAGATCTGCCCCGTCTCTCACTCGAAGATGTGAAGCGGGAAATCTTACAAGAAGATTTCCGCCGTCGCGAATTGGCGGGTCCCGATGGTGCCGGAGTTGCAAGCATGGGCCGTGTGTTGTGTGATGTCATCATATGCTATCACATTCTGTCTGCCTCCCATCCCATGTTTTTTCAACTTGCATGTGTGGTTTGAATGTGCAAGCATTTGTGTGTGGTGTGTTCTGGAGTTTGGGAATGTGTTTTGTGTTATTCTGTCTGAGCAGGTATTTGTGATGATAGATCTTGAGAAGATCTTTCCGACGCAACAAGAATCGCTTCAATCGGAGCAAGAACGCGAAAGCTATGAAGATTCAAAGTTCATGAGCTTGCGTTACAATTGCGGCGGTTACTAAGTGAAGTTGTGGGGTGACTTTATATGGAGTTGGGACCTTTGGGGTTGGGGAAACTTGTCACTCTACTGTAACAGCTGCAAATTGGTTGGGAACAACCAAGCTAGGTTGGCAAGGGTGGCCAACTTGGATGGATTGGTTGGGAAGGGACAAAGGTCAAAGTTGAGGTTCCTATAGGGAGGGAATCTTTGTGCTTATGGGGTTTCCTTGGTTGGGGACTCTCTTGGGACCTTCCCTCTCATCCCTCTCTTCCTATCCCAACCTTTCTCTTGCTCCTTCTAATTCCTTGTGAGATTCTTGAACTTTGATTGAACTCTTGAGATTGAGTTAAGTTCTCCTCCTACAGCTTACCCCCTAGTGCGTCGAAAGCCATAGCGTCGCGAATACTTCATCAATCAACGTGATTCAAATTGGGAACGGTAGCTGAGATTAAGAGCTACAACATATCCAAGTTTCGCGACATTCCAACGGCTAGGTTTTTGTCGACGTCGTTTCTTGTGAAGACGACTTTTCTGTCCAGAATTTCGGATTTATATTTTGAGTAATTCTAGCTCCTAAGTTCACCTAGACTCTGTCCTTAATCCTAACAAGTGGTATCAGAGCGATATTAAGGACATTGAGAGGAGTCTACAGAAGTGTGAAGACCCTTCTAGACCCACCATGGCCTGTGGGTGTGCCTAAGTGGTGTTCTAAAGGTTGGATGTGTCTTCCGCTAAGGGGAAACTCTGCCGAAATTTCGTGGACGCCGACACTTGTGAAAATATCGAGGGAGCTGAGTGTGGACAGCAAAGGGGAGCTGAAATTCGTCATTTCTCAAGGAGAAGATGAATGAGAGAGGAGGAGATGCTAATGGAAGAGGAGCTGTAGCTGAGAAGACAAGTGAGCCGCCGCCATCAAAAGTTGAAGCTTTGGATGGCTCCAACTATGAGGAATGGAGCGGACGGATGAGGAGTGCCTTCAAACGCTACAAGCTCCTGAAGATTGCTGTTGGGGAAGAGAAGATGCCGGAAGAAGGCGAAGCACGTGAACGGTGGATTGAGAAAAGCGCGGTGCTTTTCGACCTCATTCTTCAATCGGTCAACAAGGAGATGTTCGAGCACATCAAGGATCTTGTGGAAGCGGATGATTCGGGTCCAAGGGCGTGGAAACTACTACGTGATGTGGTTCAGCCCAACACTCTCCTGATGGTGATCGTGCTCGAGAAGGAACTTGCTGCCATCTCCATGCGACCAGGGGACGATGTGAAGCCGGTCCTTGACAAGATCAAGGACACCTATGCAAGGATGGCAGCAGCGGGCAGCAGTGTATCTCAGCTGCAGCAGTGCACCAAGATCATCTCGGTGTTGGACAACTCTTGGGACAACCTCATCCCCACCCTCAACTCTCAGCAAGATCAATGGACACCTGAGTGGCTAAGGCAGCAGATTCTGCAGGAGGACTTCCGCAGACGCCATGTGGGAGGCGGTGCTGCCACTAAGACTGCTGAGGGGTATGGAGCTGCAGGGCGCAGCAGAGGAAGAGGGGGTTGGAAAGGCCGAGGCCGTGGGAGAAGCTTTGGCAGAGGTAGAGGCCGAGGTGACTATAATGAGGGGCATGGGAGCTCCAGTGGCAGGGGGAGTACCAGAATGGAGGGCACCTGCTGGTACTGCAAGAAGGTCGGGCATCCTTGGTTCAAGTGCTTCAGCAGGCCGGAGGGATGGTCACCTCCAGGCATGAAGCCGCCAAGTGGTGAACGCGCACAAGGTGGCGCTGTGCAAGGCTCAGGTGCACAAGGTGAAGGTGCACAAGGTAACGCCTATCCTGGGATGTATCTCATGGTTGAGGATGTGCATGGGCATGAGGGTGATGTGGGATCTGTGGGAAAGGTTGTGATGCACCCTCTCACGCACTGGGTGATTGATTCAGGTTGCACCAGTCACATGACCCCACGGGCAGATTTGCTTGATGAGGTAAAACCCCCTGGGAAGATCAAGTATGTGGCAGCAGCGTCAGGTGCTTTGCTCCCTGTCATTGGTGTTGGAAATGCCAAGGTTAAGGGAGCTAATGGGGAGCTTGTGGGGCTTGGGAATGTTCTGCTGGTTGAAGGCTTGTCTGCTAACCTTCTCTCTGTGCAACGACTGCAGAAGAGCAAGGCCGAAGTGACCTTTGGACCAACCAGCTGCCGTGCTAAGCTTGGGAAGAAGGTGCTGTGGAGTCTGGAAGAGGAGACCAGCTGCATCAAGGACCTGTGGCAGCTGCCCATCATCCCATGGAATGGGAAGACTCCAACAGCAGCAACGGCAGCAGTGGCAAAGGCAACAGCAGGAGGAGATGCAACTGCACCAACTGATGGGGTGCTGGAAGCAGTCAAGAAAGTGCAGAAGCAGCAGACACATGGTGAGGTGCTTGCTGGTGTGGATGCGAGTGCGGCATGGGCTAAGGCTTCATCAAGGAGTGGAGAGGCCGATTGGGAGACATGGCATGAGAGGTTGTGTCATGTGAACTTCCCTATGCTGCAGAAGTTGGTGAAGAATGGGAGCCTGAAGGGCTTGGAGGTGAAAGGGGAAGTGAAGGAGATTGGGAGCTGCCCTACATGCTTGGAGACCAAGTTCTCCAAGTTCCCCTTCAACAGTGCAACTGGACCAGCCAAGACCCCACTTGCACTTGTGCACATGGATGTGGTGGGGCCCACAAGAGCCCCTTCCCTCTCAGGCAGCCGCTATTTCTTGACAATTGTGGATGACCACACTCGGGCAGTGTGGGTTTACCCTTTGAAGAGCAAGGGGGAGGTGGCAGCGGCTGTCCTTAAGGAGTGGATGCCGAGAGCTCAGAGGGAATGTGGACACAAGGTGAAGGTGATCCGCAGTGACAATGGTGGGGAGTTCATTGGAGCTGATTTTGAGGGGGAGTTGAAGAGGAAGGGGATCCAGCATCAACTGACAGTGCCCTACAACCCGCAGCAGAATGGCGTGGCTGAGAGGTTCAACAGGACCCTGCAGGAGGGGGCACGCACTCTCCTTGGGCGTGCAGGGCTACCTGATCCGTTTTGGGTGTCTGCACTGAGGCAGGTCGCCCTTGTGAAGAATAGAGTGCTGGCTACAGTTGGGGATAAGGAGTGGATCCCATATACCAAGTGGTATGGGAGTGCTCCAGCTGTGAATATGCTGAGGGCATTTGGGTGCATGGTAGTGTTTCATGTGCCTAAGGAGAAAAGAGGGAAGTTGGAGGCTTCTGGAAGATGGGGTGTGCACTTGGGGATTGCAAAGGATCACAAGGGGTGGCTGCTATGGGACTTGACCACCCAGAAGTTGACAGTGTCAAGGGATGTGAAGTTTCTTGAGTCCCTGTACTACAAGGAATGGAAGCAGCAGCAACAGAAGCTTCCATCTACACCGCTCATTGTGGAGGCAGATGAGGTGCAGCAGCCTTCAAGACAGGTGGAGGTTGCAGTGTCAGAGGAGGAGATGTCTGGGGTGACTGAGGAAGGGGGAGCAGCTGAAGTAGAGCAGCAGCAGCAGCAGCATGAGTCTCCACCTCGAGTTCCACACCCGCCTGAGCGTCCTAGGAGGGATGTGCGCCCTCCAGTGAGGCTGACCTATGGGGGAAGAGGCAAGCCAAATGTGGTGCAGGCTGGGAGTGTGGTTGAGCAGATTGAGGAAGATGAGATCGCTCACTGCTACTGGGCACCAATCCCTGAGCCCAAGACTCGAGAGGAGGCCTTGAATGGACCAAATGGGGAGAAGTGGAAGGCGAGTGAGGATGAGGAGTTCGGGTCCCTGATTGAAAACGAGACATGGGACCTGTGTGACTTGCCTCCTGGAAAGAAGGCAATCACTTCCAAGATGATCTACAGGCACAAGTATGGACCTGAAGGGGAGCTGACCCGCTACAAGTCTAGGCTTGTGGCACGGGGGTTTCAGCAGACAAAGGGGAAGGACTATGATGAGGTGTTTGCTCCTGTGGGGAAAGGAACAACACTGAGGGTGCTGTTAGCGATAGCTGCACTCCTGGGATGGAAGATACGGCAGATGGACATTGTGACAATGAGTCCGCTGTGAAGCTCGCCAAGAATGCTTGTCTGCATGGGCTGACAAAACACATAAGGCCTAAGTGGCATTGGGTGAGGAGACTCCTTGATAAGGAGGTGCGGCTGGAGATAGTGAAGACCCATCAGCAGGCAGCAGATATTTTCACCAAGCGTCTGGCGGAGGCGGATCATTGGAAGGGCATGAAGCTTGCTGGGATGAGTGTGCATTGAGTATGCATGCTTGAGATGTTGGTATGGTGGATGATGGTTGGCAGCCAGAGGGGGAGATTGTTGTGTGATGTCATCATATGCTATCACATTCTGTCTGCCTCCCATCCCATGTTTTTTCAACTTGCATGTGTGGTTTGAATGTGCAAGCATTTGTGTGTGGTGTGTTCTGGAGTTTGGGAATGTGTTTTGTGTTATTCTGTCTGAGCAGGTATTTGTGATGATAGATCTTGAGAAGATCTTTCCGACGCAACAAGAATCGCTTCAATCGGAGCAAGAACGCGAAAGCTATGAAGATTCAAAGTTCATGAGCTTGCGTTACAATTGCGGCGGTTACTAAGTGAAGTTGTGGGGTGACTTTATATGGAGTTGGGACCTTTGGGGTTGGGGAAACTTGTCACTCTACTGTAACAGCTGCAAATTGGTTGGGAACAACCAAGCTAGGTTGGCAAGGGTGGCCAACTTGGATGGATTGGTTGGGAAGGGACAAAGGTCAAAGTTGAGGTTCCTATAGGGAGGGAATCTTTGTGCTTATGGGGTTTCCTTGGTTGGGGACTCTCTTGGGACCTTCCCTCTCATCCCTCTCTTCCTATCCCAACCTTTCTCTTGCTCCTTCTAATTCCTTGTGAGATTCTTGAACTTTGATTGAACTCTTGAGATTGAGTTAAGTTCTCCTCCTACAGCTTACCCCCTAGTGCGTCGAAAGCCATAGCGTCGCGAATACTTCATCAATCAACGTGATTCAAATTGGGAACGGTAGCTGAGATTAAGAGCTACAACATATCCAAGTTTCGCGACATTCCAACGGCTAGGTTTTTGTCGACGTCGTTTCTTGTGAAGACGACTTTTCTGTCCAGAATTTCGGATTTATATTTTGAGTAATTCTAGCTCCTAAGTTCACCTAGACTCTGTCCTTAATCCTAACACCGTGGGCATGGCCATGGAAGGGGCAGAGGGCGAGGAGGAAGATTTGGCAGTAGTAACTTCAGTGGAGGCCGTGGTAATGGAGGATATGGCAGCAACAACAACAACAATGGCTACGGGCGTGGGCGCGGTCGATTTGATGGCGAATGCCACTTTTGTCACAAGACCGGCCACATGTGGAGAGATTGCTTCAGATCGCCTGATGGATGGACCCCTTCTCAGGGCCAAGAGGGCAGAGGAGCAAGGGGAGGAAGAGGCAGAGGTCGTGGAGGCCGTGGTGGCCGTGGAGGCGAAGCGGCAAGCATGAAAGGTGGAGACTACGACAAGGACTCGAGTGAAGATCGATACCCGGGCCAATTCTTCTTTGTCTCCACGCAAGCGGCAGCTGCAGCAGGAGGTGTGGAAGGCTTTGAGGAGCCATCTACTGTGGGAAAGGTCACCCTTCACTCTCTGGACTTTTGGGTGATCGATAGCGGCGCCACCTACAGCATGACACCTCGTGCGGACTTGCTCACCGAACTCGAACCGTCGCCGGTCAAGCATGTTACATCGGCTTTGGGGCAGCGAGCAGAGGTGAAAGGCATGGGCAAGGCCATGTTCAAGGGTGCTGATGGGAAGATGGTGGGCCTCAAGAACGTGCTTTGGGTGCCCAACCTAGCAGCCAACCTGATATCTGTTCGGCGTTTGCAAAAGGCCGGCATGGACACATCTTCCAACGGCTCCAAAACATATACCGCGAGGCTTGGTGAGCGGAAGCTTTGGGACCTTCATGAGGACAGGGACATCTACAATGAGATGTGGCAAATCCCAGTGGTCCCCATGCCTAAGGGGAGGCAAGTGGCAGCAAGCGTCAGCACCAAGACTGAAGCGGTTGGTGGCGGTGATCACGGAAAACAAAGTGACACCAAGAGTGACTCGAAGGAGTGCAACCTTGGAGAGACCAGCAAGGCGTGTGAACCCAAGGAGAGTGGTGCAGCAGCCAAAGGTGGTGGAAATGAGGAGGAGAAGCCTAAGATCAGCAAAGCAGCAGCGGCGAAGGAGAAAGGAGAGAGCTTGTGGGGCACGATTGCGAGTGCCGCTTTCTCCAACCCGACTTCCGCTACGGAGAGTGTGATTGGCTGACCTTGCATCGGCGAATGGGGCATGTGGCATTGCCCATTTTGCAGCAGATAGTTAAGCAAGAGATGGTCAGTGGGATACGTGTCAAGGGGGAGCCCAATGAGGTGCTTGGCTGTCCAACATGCATGCAAGCCAAGTTCACCCGCTACCCGTTCCATAGCTCGGAGACAACGGCGAAGGCACCACTTGATGAGGTGGTGATGGATGTGGTGGGCCCCTTGAAGCTTGGAGCTGCTGGAGCTGAGTACTTCCTCACCATTGTGGACGTCTACACTCGCATGACTTGGGTGCATGTGCTGCCCAAGAAGAGTGACGTAGCTGAAACGGTGAAGACCGATTGGTTGCCGATGGTGGAGCGGCAACAAGACCGGCTTGTGAAGGCGATTCGCACTGACCGTGGGGGAGAGTTCTGAGCAAGGATTCTCAACTTGGCTGAAGAAGCAGGGCATAAGGCACTCTCTCACCATGCCCTACTCTCCTGCAATGAACGGCATCGCCGAGCGTGCGAATCGGACACTCACGGAGACGGCTCGGGGACTTCTCATTGAAGCCGGTCTGCCCAATTATTTTTGGCCGGATGCGGTGCGGCATGCTTGTGTGGCCAAGAACAGAGCCTTGAATCACGTGGGAGAAGACAAATGGGTGCCCTATGTGGAGTGGATTGGAAGGAAGCCGAAGGTGGATATGCTTCGGGTGTTCGGGTGCATGTGCATGGCACTTGTGCCTAAGAAACTTCGGCACAACAAGCTTGATGCCAAGGCAACATGGGCCGTGCACCTGGGCATGGCTCAAAACAGCAAGGGATGGCTTCTTTGGGACCCATTTACCAAGAAGTTCTTGGTGAGCAGAGATTGCAAGTTCATGGAGAACTTACCGTACAAGGAGTGGAAGGCGGAGAACCAAGCGAAGATTGGTGTGCGGCTTGGAGAGGTGAAGAGTACCGGCTTGGAGCATGTGGAGCTGAGTAGCAGCAGCACAATTACGAGGCAATCTCCTCAAATGAATGGGGATGAGGAGCAGGAGGAGGTGCAGCAAGGTAATGAGCGTGCACCTTCACTTCCGCCTCGTGCTACAAGTGCTCGTGGGAACCGACCGGATTTACTGCAACGCCATGAGAGCATTCAAGTCCCTGCAGCAGAGGAGGAAGGAAGGGGGAGAAGGAGGACTCAGCCCCCTAATAGGTTGAGCTATGACCGGCTTGGAGGACCAGCCAACTCAACCTTGACCGGTTCGGCTCTCATGCTAGGTGATGATGCAGAAGATGAAAGCGAGGAGTGCGCGTTTGCCTTCTTCTCTCCGGTGGAGATGCCGGGGGAGCCTACAAATCCCAAGGAGGCTTGGGGGGGCCCCAATGGGAAGGAGTGGAAGAAGGCCTCAGATGAAAAAATGGGGAGCATCATAGAGAACGACACATTTGACTTGGTGAACCTACCTCCGGGGCGGAAGGCGATCTCTTCCAAGTGGCTCTTCAAGCGCAAGACCGACGCCGACGGCAACATCGAGCGCTACAAGAGCAGATTTGTAGCCAAGGGGTATCAGCAGCAAGAGAAGAAGGACTACAATGAAGTGTATGCCCCTGTGGTGAAGGGTACAACCCTTCGAACCCTCTTCGCCCCGGCGGCCATCAAAGGATGGGTGGTGAAGCAAATGGATATAGTAACGGCCTTCCTCAACGGCGTTTTGGAGGAAGAGACCTTCATGGAGCAGCCAGAGGGGTACAATGATGGGAGTGGCAGAGTGTGGAAGCTGAAGAAAGCACTCTATGGCCTCAAGCAAGCCCCTAGGCAATGGTACATCAAGCTGCGGGAAGTCTTGGAGGCGATCGGTTTCACTCCCTCAACGGCCGATCAATCCTTGTTCATGCTTGGCGAGGGGGAGCAGAGGAGCTTCATGGTGGTTTATGTGGATGACATCCTCATATTCTCACCCTCCTCTGACCTTGTGAAGGATGTGATGCTGAAGCTTCAAGACAAGCTCAAGTGCAAGACCCTTGGTGACGTCAACTACTACCTTGGGCTTCACATTGAGCGAGATGTGGAGAAGCGGTGGATGCGAGTGCATCAAAAGAAGTACTTGGAGACCTTGGCTACAAGCTTTGGGAAGAGTGAAGGTCATGTGGCTACTCCTCTTCCCTCAGGGTTCAAGTGTGTGAAAGGACCAGTGGAGGAAAGTGTTGGTGAAGAGGAGAGCCGGCGTTTTCACTCCTTGGTGGGCAGCCTCATGTATGCGGCCGTTCACACAAGGCCGGATGCAGCCTTTGCTACCGGGCAGCTGGCTAGGGTTTTCCAATGCCCTAATGAAGAGCAGGTAGCAGCTAGAGAGAGGGTGGCCAAGTACCTTGGCCAAACAGCAACTGTTGGACTGCAATACTCCGCGGCGGCACAAAGGCGTCAAAAGGGTGCGGATGGAGTCGAACCCGGGAGGCTCTTTCTCACCGCCTTCTCTGATGCATCTTGGGTATCAGAACCAGAGGACATGACAAGTGTGGGAGGCTTCATCTGCTGTGTTGGTGGAGGCCCAACAGCTTGGGAGAGCAAGAAGCAAGTGGACCAAGCATTGAGCTCGGTGGAGTCCGAGTACATGGCACTCTTCCGTGCCATAAGAGAGGTTGTGTGGCAGCGGCGTTTGCTAGCTGAATTGGGGGAGGAGCAGCAAGGACCTACCCCACTCTATTGTGATAGCCAGGGTGCTATTGCATTGGCTAAGAACCCCGTTCTTCATGGCCTTACCAAGCACATGAAGGTGAAGTGGCATTGGGTGAGGAGCATGGTAACCTCGGGTGAAGTGGAGTTGCACTACGTGAAGACAACGGCACAGCCAGCTGATATGATGACCAAGAGGCTGGTTGAGCAGCAGAATTGGAAGTGTTGCAAGCTTGCTGGGATGGCTCTGAACTAAGGGGAGCTGATTCTAAGACCAACAATCCGAGGGGGAGTTTGTTGGTGCAACCCTATGGCTTGCACTCGGCTTGTCGTCCTTGTTTGTGTGTGTGCATGCATGGCATGGAATGAATTGTGAGTCTATGTCATTGCTATCTAGTGATTGTGTGTGTGTTTGAATGGTGTATCACAATGTGGTTTGTGTCGGTCAAGACATTAGGAAGTTTTTACAACTCGCATGTCAAGTCGTCGTTTGCGTATCGCATGTGTTTT